TAGCATTTTTGTTGTTGTTGTTTTGTTCTTTGAAAGAAATTATTACTTTTATTCACCAAGGATGCATTAAATTGACCAAAAGTGACATTAAATTGACTTAATTAATATTTGATATAAAATGAACTTTTTATTCATTAAAGAATTCTGTTTTTTTTTTACAAAAATATTAATCAGCACAACTGTTAACACTGATGATAATAATAAGAACGGTTTCTTGAGCTTGAATGATTTCTGAAGAATCATGTGGCACTGAAGACTGAAGTAATGCAAATTCAGCTTTGTCATCACAGGAATAAATTACTTTTTAAAATATATTAAAATAGAAAGAATTATTTTAAATAGCAATAATATTTTGGTATGTTATTTAAAAAAATTAAAAAAAAATCTTACAGACCCCAAACTTTTATATAATGTATAGTATAGTATATGTGTTTGATGTTACTATATTGAAGTCAAAGCAAATTATTAAAATATTATATCTGGTAATGTTTGATAGTGTATTTGATATATCTGGAAAATGCTGATTTTTTCCTGCCCACTATTAGAGTAATGTTAGTGTAAAAAAGTTTTTTTTTCTTTCTGCAACATGCAACCTGTATGCATAAATATATATTTACATTGTGTTGTCAGATATGATTGTTCTGGTATAAAACAGCGAAGAGGAAAAATGAAACAAGTGAGTAAGTATGACAATGCGTCTAATGCCTCATTTGTCTGTGTAGCCTAATCAACAACTTGATGATTTCCCTTATGGTTGATGTACAACACACTGAATAGTTGAGTACATATCAGCATCGTGTGAATCCAGGTGTGTAACATCAGGCAGGGCTGTTTGTCTTCTGATGGGATTGGCAGAGCTGCAGCTGTAGAGATCTCTCTCCAGATTACAAACATCCTGAGGGAAAGAAACTACTGTGCTGATATCAGTGTCGTTCACTAATTCTTTTTTTTTTGTACCATGTTTCATAAACATGGAAGTAGCCAAATGTCACCATGCTTAAATCTCACAACACACATCACGGCCTTCTCTAATAAGGCTAGTTTATCATTTTAATGTACGTTCACAATTCTGGAATATACAGGGGTTGGACAAAATAATGTGAACACCTGCGAAACAAGCAATTTTTCTTTATTAAGATGTGCTTTACCACCATTTGCCTTTAATACTATCTCCAACCTTCTTAGAAGATACTCATACAATTGTTGAATAGTCTTCAGCTGAATGTTGTCTATCAAAACATCTGCCAGGTGCTTTAGGGATTTTGGAGGAGGGAACTGGCTTCTCACTCTTTCTCTGCAAAAATGTCTATAGTGGTTCTAGTCAGGTGATTTGTCTGGCTAAATATCCAATGTTTTATGATCGTGACACCATCTTATTCACTTTTTAGCATGAGTTTCAGTTATTCAAATTTGATCAGTTGCAGCTCTTTCATTGGTGTTGGCTTTGTGAAGTTCTTTGTGATCAGTTTTTGTGGAAACAGGATCTTCCAGGTACATATTGAGGTTTGCTGTCACTTTTGCTGTAGTACTTTGGTGTTGTTTGGACGCAATCCTCCTTAGTGTTTAATGTCTATCATTCACTTTCATGTTTCACCCTGTTCTTCTTCTCTGATGAATTCTAGCCAATACGCAGCCAAGACTGTTGTTCTCAAAACATTTCCCTTATGGTTGATGTACAACACACTGAATAGTTGAGTACATATCAGCATCGTGTGAATCCAGGTGTGTAACATCAGGCAGGGCTGTTTGTCTTCTGATGGGATTGGCAGAGCTGCAGCTGCATGTAGAGATCTCTCTGGTAATGTTTGATAGTGTATTTGATATATCTGGAAAATGCTGATTTTTTCCTGCCCACTATTAGAGTAATGTTAGTGTAAAAAAGTTTTTTTTTCTTTCTGCAACATGCAACCAGTATGCATAAATATATATTTACATTGTGTTGTCAGATATGATAGTTCTGGTATAAAACAGCGAAGAGGAAAAATGAAACAAGTGAGTAAGTATGACAATGCATCTAATGCCTCATTTGTCTGTGTAGCCTAATCAACAACTTGATGATTTCCCTTATGGTTGATGTACAACACACTGAATAGTTGAGTACATATCAGCATCGTGTGAATCCAGGTGTGTAACATCAGGCAGGGCTGTTTGTCTTCTGATGGGATTGGCAGAGCTGCAGCTGTAGAGATCTCTCTCCAGATTACAAACATCCTGAGGGACAGAAACTACTGTGCTGATATCAGTGTCGTTCACTAATTCTTTTTTTTTTGTACCATGTTTCATAAACATGGAAGTAGCCAAATGTCACCATGCTTAAATCTCACAACACACATCACGGCCTTCTCTAATAAGGCTAGTTTATCATTTTAATGTACGTTCACAATTCTGGAATATACAGGGGTTGGACAAAATAATGTGAACACCTGCGAAACAAGCAATTTTTCTTTATTAAGATGTGCTTTACCACCATTTGCCTTTAATACTATCTCCAACCTTCTTAGAAGATACTCATACAATTGTTGAATAGTCTTCAGCTGAATGTTGTCTATCAAAACATCTGCCAGGTGCTTTAGGGATTTTGGAGGAGGGAACTGGCTTCTCACTCTTTCTCTGCAAAAATGTCTATAGTGGTTCTAGTCAGGTGATTTGTCTGGCTAAATATCCAATGTTTTATGATCGTGACACCATCTTATTCACTTTTTAGCATGAGTTTCAGTTATTCAAATTTGATCAGTTGCAGCTCTTTCATTGGTGTTGGCTTTGTGAAGTTCTTTGTGATCAGTTTTTGTGGAAACAGGATCTTCCAGGTACATATTGAGGTTTGCTGTCACTTTTGCTGTAGTACTTTGGTGTTGTTTGGACGCAATCCTCCTTAGTGTTTAATGTCTCTATCATTCACTTTCATGTTTCACCCTGTTCTTCTTTGATGAATTCTAGCCAATACGCAGCCAAGACTGTTGTTCTCAAAACACTAAAATCATTGGGCTGTTGAGGAGGTTACAGATGCTCCTGCAGGTAAACCGACTGCCATGATCTGTTCTTTTTGGAAGTCGGACAAGTCACCCATTTCACACATGGCTTGAAAACGTATACTACAATGATATACAACCTAGAGAATACTGACAACAAAAAGATAAATGATAATTGGAATGCTATACAGTTTTTCACTGTAGCTAACAAAATTTATATTAGCCCCTATAATAACAGCTAACCTTATTTTGTCCAAGCCCTGTAATGAGGTGTATTATTTTGCTTGATGAAAAGTCACAAAAAAGAATATATATTGTTTGTCAATTATTAGTGCAGTATTACTGTACATCTAGTCAGACTTCTGATCATGTCACATTTCTGAATAGGAGGAATTTAATGTTATATAAGAACTCTACTTCTCAATCATTATATAACATTATTAGTCCATCACTGCAAGCACACGGATTATATCGTCGCATTCTGTGCTGCATGTTGTTACCGACAAGTGTCATTTGTGCACTGCACTGTCAAAACCTTAAAATACTTTCAAATTCCAACCGCAAACAAGCTCAGTTTTTCATCACAGATTAATAAAAAACATTTTTAGATTTTAGACAGTTTTAGATTTTAATAACTGGTGCTTCAGCTCAAAACAAACAAATACATTTGACAAATTTCACATGAGACAAGATTTTTCTGTAGAGTCAGAATATGTTTAATAAAAATAATTAAACCTCAATTTCTTCTATAGAACTTCATAGAAAGTAATTCAATAAGTTACAAACTTTTTAAGACACGAGTCCTGCACTACAAGAAGCATTAATTGACAACACAGGCCACAACTTGCAAGTATTGCAACTGTCCAAAAACACATTTTAGTCAAAAAAAAAGAAAAAAAAGGAGGGGCTTGAATTGCAAAATATTAAAAATATGAAACAAAATAAGCCATGAAAACAAATGAGTCGGTCTGTCAATTCAATCAATTCACATAATTGAAAACAAACGTTTATTTGCAGTAGTGTATTTCTATTTCATCTGCTGTTGCATGGTGGATGTCATTGTCTTTGTGCCACAACGGCAAAGTCTTGCCCTGATTCTGGTCAGTAGTCCAGCGGTTCATAACGCAACATGAAATATAACCAAAATATTGAATTAATGTACATATGATGAAAAAAAAAGGAAAATCAACATAAATGTCCAATTCTGTCAAACCTGTAATTCTTCTCAGAACATCACTCCGTTAAATGAGACGCTAACGCTGCGGATGTCATAAAAAGAGAAACTAGATAGGTTTCATGTGCGGTTTTGGGAAGAGGCGGCAAGCAGCAATACCTGTACACAGTTTCAAAGTGCGTGGCTCAGCACAAATTATCTGGAAAGAGGAAGATCTGATGCCACAGTGGAGAGGAGACGGCATTCAGAACATCTAATGAGGCAAAGTTACACAGAGAGATAAGAGAGAGGGCATCTGTGTGAAACCATGATGAATGAAATCAAACATGCTTGGAAAGACCCATTAATATAACTGTGTTCACTAGTGAGACAGGCAAAGAGTTGCATTGTGCAGTGCATCCCGAAGAAATTTGCATCACAAATGGAAAACTTCAGTAGCCGAACCTGAATATGAACAAACGTGACGCAGCAGACTCGCGTGAATCAAATGAGTCTAACAGTCTAGAACAAGCACATCAGCACACGTAACCAAAAACGAATCACATACACGTCCTGATTCAAAACGCCAATGAGGTTCATCGTGTTGGCCGAGGTGCTGGATTGCGACGAATCGTATTGTGAGGGACAGACACTGAAGTATGGCATAAGGACACTTCTAGATCAGTCATTTACATCTAACAGCGGCGAGGCGACTATGTGGATCTGCATTTTGACAGACTAAAGGACCGTGTGATTTTTGACCTTTGTAACCTTTAACAACCCTACTATCAATTCATGTGCACTGATCAAGTAACTGAAATACTACTGCAAATACTTGAATTCCTCTCAATACTCTCACGCGGATTACAAATGTGATGAGCTAATATGACAATACTGTAGCAGTCTGTGGAAAAGAGAGCATATGTGCGCTGCTGTTTATCACGAGGGGGTTGCACGTGAGGCCGACAGGACCTTGGACACATAGATTTTCATGCAAAATGAGGCAACTGTTCATATGCACAGAACCAACACACACACACACACACACACACACAGTGCTGTCTAAACGCTAAAAGAAACATTAATATATGAATGTGAAGGAAGTGGTTTGAAACGGAACGGTTATGTTTGTTACAAACATATCCATGCACATTGTTTTGGGGCATTGTGAGAAATGTGTCCCTAAAAGAATGTCTGGTTCACTGTAGATATCATCGTACAGCATGTTGGCAAGATGGATTACATGTTCGCATGTACAAAACTCAAATCTTTGGGTAAAATAGCTGTATGAAGAGAATTTGAAAAAAAGAAAGAAAGAAAAGGATGAAAAAGTAAAGAAAGAACAGACCTTGGGCAGCAGGCAGAGAGTCCGGGCCAGTAAACAGATGCACAAATCACAAGAGAAGTGAAGGAACAAGAACTTGTGTGATGGATGAATGAATGAACAAACTAATGCAGGGTCTCTACAGCTTCAGTGACATTCATAAGCTGCCTGTGTGTTATTGCTGTGGATCTGTAGGTATGCTCTGTGAAGTCTATGTGTTCAGGATCCTGCTCAAGTATTTACAAATGAAACCCAAACAGTCGATGTGTTCTTTCTCCCAAAACAAAATATATTAATTATACAGCTCTGCAATGAGCAACAGCGTCCTCATCTCTTTAATAAAATTAAATCCCGACATATCTATAACAATAATGCCTTTTAGTTTTTGCTTCTTGTCTGTTGCAATTGTACATCATGGTGTAATACAATTTCACAAAGTTTTTTTTTTGTTTGTTTTGTTTTTCGACATGCAAAACATCTCTTCGAAACGACATTGTACCTAAACAAACACTGAAATCTCATTTCAGTTTCTCTAGGATCTCCGTTTTTTTCCTCTTCATTACACAACACTTTAGTTATTATATTTACATGGAAACAAAAAACATGATGTAGTAAATGCAGGATTATTCCTATATGTGTTTATATGTATACATTTCTAAGAGATGTATATAAATATATAATATTTATTTATACATGTATAAAGACTCAGTCTTCGTCGCTGGAATCGGAATCCTCGGATGACTCGGAGGAGCTGTTGGACTCAGAGGAGGATGACTCCGCCTTCGCCGAGCCCTCTGGACCACTGGTATCCTTCTTTTCGTCGGGCTCCTCCCCCTCATCGCTGTCTTTGTCCTCCGAGTGGCCGGGCAGCTGCGCCGTGGCTTCGGAGGCTGCAGGTTGCAGTGGTGGGGTTGGCTGAGTGTTTGCAGCTTGCGGCTGGTTGGCCACAGGCAGGTTAAGGCCTGGCGTAAGAAGCATCCCTGGGTAGAACATACTAGAGAGGAGAAGGGGGTTGAGGGCCAGTGGGTGGCCTGAAGCAGAAGCACTTGTTTGATTGGAGTTGGCGGCCGTCGAGGTGGTGGCTTTGGAGCTTTGACCCTCTGTCCTTTCAGCTTTGCCATCCGGACTCAAAGTCTCAGCCGACCCTTTGGGTGTGGTAGACTCTCCACCGCTCTTCTTTTTCCTGTCCTCGTTGCTCGTCAAAGCCACACCCGCCGCTTCCTGTTTTCCAAGGATACCACTCATTCCGAGGAGGTTCGGCAGCCCGGTCATTCCGGACAGCATCATTGGAAACATGGCGGCCATGTTGGTGGGGTCGTGAGGCAGTCCCATGAGGCCAGTGGTGAGTTGGAGAGACTGGAGGCTCTGGAGGTTATGCTGAAGAGCTTGAAGACTTGGCAGGTCCAGCCCGGCGAGGAGGCCGTTGGTTAGGAGTGGGTTGAGCCCCAGGGCGGCGTTGGCACTGGCCACGGTGGCTGCTTTAGCCAAAGCGTTTTTGGGACGTCGTCCTCGCCGGCTCACTTCTTCAGGAACAATGGGGCCAGTCAGGATGCGGTCAAACATACTTTCAGGAAGGTAACCCTGGAAACACAAACGCAGTAAAATTTAGGGGTGTAACGGTATGCGTATCGTGTACCGAACAGTTCACGGGCAAATTCCAAATGGAAGTTATCATCCCTATCCCTTTGGAGTGGGGACTTTGGAGTGAGCAGGGCACGTGCGTGCCATTATGTAGTCGTTTCATACATTATAAAGCATATTTTAGAAACAATTTTAAATATAAAATGTATGTTTATTTGCAACAGTTATGCTAACAACAATAAAAAGACATTTATGACATTAAAACAGCGACATCTGCTGACGGACACCGTGCTGCGTTGTCACAGGAACATGCCAGCTGAAGATAATGAGGAAATTACATCGCTCCCTTTGCCAAGTGCATTCCAAACGACTACATAATGGCACGCACGTGCCCTGCTCACTCCAAAGTCCCCACTCCAAGGGGATAGGGATGATCACTTCCATTCGGAATTTGCCCTGTGAACCGTTCGGCACATGATACATGTACCGTTACACCCCTAGTAAAATTAGAATCATATTTTAGGGCTGTCATTTTCATTACACAATTACTGTGGTCAAAAGAATTCACGATAACACTATTATTGATAACTATACTAACTGTTGCTAGCTATTATTTCTATCAGTCGAATTCATCTTGCACTTTGTTCATTTTGTGCTTTCTCTTTTTTCGGACAATGAATCACTCAAAATACGAGTGTATGGAGGCGGACAGAGAGGTTGTAACCATAACTGTGCAAAAATAACTTACTGTTGATCGGCATTTCCAGCAGACTGGGGTGTCTAACACCACTTCTTTTTTATGAAATCCAAAAAACTCCCACACTGGCAAGCTCCCTTTTATGGGTGTGGGTAGAATGTCTCCTTCAACATGATTTTGTGTGGCAGCAGTAGCTACACACTGTGCAGTTGTCTTCTTTCTGATAGATGGTAGCCAGCATTACCCGGTGCTAGATTGTTTACAGTATGTACAGTACTAACACAATATTATTATTATTATTTTTTTAAATACTATGGTTATCATCATGTCGGTATAGTGCGGCACCTTTAATTTCTGTTAATGTGCTATATTTGGAACGAATAATGTTTCTCTTTTTACTCACAGACTGTTTAACAACGTCAGCCCACTCTGGTGGGACCCCATACTCTGGATTCTCCTGCAGGAACCGGCTTAAATCTTTCAGAGGAGGAGCAAATGCACCGCCAATCTGGAACAAAGAAATATAAAACAAGAATTACAAACACCAAAAAAAATCTGTCCACAAAATCTATAGCCATCACATACTTAAAGCATGCCAACTTTCTAGATTTCTGAATATAAAATGAAAAGTAAAAAAAAAGGTCATATGCAAGTCAAACCTGCTCTGCCATCAGAGGAGGCCTGTTTCTGTTCATGAACAGCAGGTCCATCCCCTCCACATTCTTCCGCCGTCCTCTCCTCTTCTTTATTACGGGCTGTCCGTCCATAACTCCATTCAGTCGCATTTGCTCTGGCAGTACTGCAGCAACACAAAGAACATGCACTTTTAGTGTCATCCAGTACTGTATATTGCATACAGTGCGGTGTGGTTGGTGGGTAAAGCAGATATCTGGTTGAACATGTGTGACCCTGGACCATAAAACCAGTCATAAGGGTCGATTTTTTTAAATTGAGATTTATGAATCATCTGAAAGCTTTTCTGAAATCTTTCCATTGATGTATGGTTTGTTAGGATAGGACAATATTTGGCAGAGATACAATAAAAAAAATAAAATAAAAAAAATTCAAAAATACTGAGAAAATCGCCTTTAAAGTTGTCCAAATGAAGTCCTTAGCAATGCATATTACTAATCAAAAATTAAATTTTTATATATCAACGGTAGGAAATTTACAAAATATCTTCATGTAACATGATCTTTACTTAATATCCCAATGATTTTTGGCATAAAAGAGAAATTTATCATTTTGACCCATACAATGTATTGTTGGCTATTGCTACAAATACACCCGTGCAACTTAAGACTGGTTTTGTGGTCCAGGGTCACATACATGCTTGAACATTACCTTGTGGATAGCTGTTCTGTGTTTTGGTGTAGTCTGCCAGGCTGGTATCAGATGCGTTCTGTAACTCTTGTAGCCGGGCTAAGTACTGCTGCTGGGCAAGAGGTCCCTCCTCACCCTCCAGGGGGCGCTTCAGAGGCAAACCTTGCTTCTGGAAGGTCAGTTTAAGGCTGCCCTCCTGCTGCAGGACACAGGCCAATGGACAGAGGATAAAGACACACTGCTAATAGGGCAGGTCCCTATGAAGCCGGTTTGAGAACAGTGAAGAACTATGAGAACAGTTTTTACAAATAGAAACACTCATACGAGGTTCATAAATGACATCAGGTTTTATACAGAGAAGAATTTTTAAGCAAATTGTCTCTAGTGGGTTGAGGTAACACAGAAACACAGTGAAGTCATAGGGCTTAAAGGTGATGTGTGTAATGTTGTTGGTGCACAAATACTTTTTCCATTCTCAGTTTAATATGCAAAAAATACGTTCATAGGTTGATTCTCTCAAGTTAGGGTTAGGGTTTTATCAAAACAATGCTCTATCTGTTTGAACATCCCGACCAGTCGGATATTAGCAACATTAGCTCAGCTAATAAGAATTATTTCAACCAGGACTACTTGTTCATCAAAAATAGAAATGTATACATGTCTCTAATGCTCACCCACACAGAATTTTATTTGGTCAAAAATATAGTAAACAGTAATATTGTAAAATATTTAAATAAAGTATATACATATTTAAATAAAGTATAATAATGTAATATAATATTATTAATATTAATTAATTATTAATCTAATGAATGTATTACGCACTTCACCTTTAAAGCAAAGGACAGAGGCTAAGACTGATTTTGTGCACTGGGTTTAGTTTAAATGTGCGAATGTTGCAACTTCAGTGTAGTAGATTTGATTCGATCCCAGCAAGAGTCACAGGAATATACCGTTGGTCTCCAGACAGATATAGAAAGCAAAAACGCTGAGAATGTAAACTAAAAATTAAACTGAAGGTGCAAAATGTTCAAAGCAAAATCAAATGAAAGGAAGGAAGAAACAAACAGATACTGGAGGAAAAGGGGGAAGACCAAACAATAAAAACAAACAAAACATGCCAAGCGCTGCAATGACACTGCAGATCGGCATTTGTGGGGGAGAACGTAAAATAACATACGTCATTGATTTTGACTGAGAACTCCTTTTCTCTGTCTGCAACATGCTTCTTCACCTTTGAACCCTGAGGGGAGGCTGAAGGGTCTTCTGTGAGTGTGGTTGTGTTGTCCAGGAGTTTGGTGGTGTAGAAAGAAGTCACTGCATTGCCTTCGTATGCACGACGAACCCCTGGCCATTTCCCCTTCAACACTGCCTGACATATACTGTCCAACCGGTTTATCATGACACGGTCCTGCAACGCGTGGACAATATTAATGTAAGGACATTACAAGCAAGTACTGTACTTTAAGGTGGAACATTATGATTGTGGTGGGGTAGAGAAAAACCATGTTCCAAAGCAGATGAATGTTTCCATACCTTTATAACTTTTTTAATGAATGAAACAATACTGTTCTTACAGTGACAGAGCCACAACTAAGGTACAACACCGATAGAGTGAGACCAGAGAAGAGGAACTGGCACAAGATGTTGGCCTGGGCTGCTCACCTTTGGCCAGTAGGAGGCAGCAAGCATATAACCTCCCTGGAAAGGGTGGGGAGGGTTAGAGATACCGTTGGTCACATGACTGCCCTGCATGTCATCTTGTGTAGTATTGAGAGAGGCAACGCTGTCTTCGTCAAAGCCTTTAACACCAGGCACTGCTGACGCTACCGGAATACAGACAGAGGCAACAATGTTATACTGATCAAACACACTTTAAACATGATCCATTTCACGTTTTACAAAATGCTGATAACCTACTACATTTGTCAAAATGTACTTGCGCTCAACTTGACCTTCCATTTCCAGTGTGATGAATGAAACAGAAGCAATATCAATCTCTTTCTTGACTCATTTGACTAGACTGACAGACAGGACATCAAACAACGATTTATTCCTGAGATGATGACAACAGAACTCCTCCTCTACACAACTTTTTAGCATGTTACATAAAAGCTTCACATATTTTAAGAAATAGCAGGCAGTATACAGTATATAGGCTGCACACTGCAGTATGCACTACACAAGCTGTTTCCCATTTTAAACCACACTGAAGATATACATATTGAACGAAGCATTTCTCTCTCTTAAAATAGTCTCTGGGCATGCTTTAAAACTCATGACCCTCACAACTAATTAATGCATTAGTGAGTCAAGTGAATGGACACCTGAATGCTGTTACTGGGGCTGCCTTGCTTCTACCCAAGGAAAACCGCTTAAAAATCACTTTTGCACTGGCACACACATGCAGTCATATATATATATAAAAAACACTACCATATACTGTACACTGTTCACCATACACTATCATTCAAAAGTTTTGGGTTGGTAAGATTTTGAATGTTTTTGAAAGAAGGGCTCACCAATGTTGCATTCATTTGATCAAAAATACAGTAAAAAAAAGTATATTACAACTCAAAATAACCATTAATCTCAAATAACCATAAATCTCTTTACTGTCACTTTTAACTGGGCCCTAAATAAAAGTATTAATTTCTATAAAGAAATAATCAATCGTACTGACCCCAAACTACTGAATGGTAGTGTAGCACAACTCAAAGACACAACCAAACATGCTTAACTTACTAGCGTGTTAAAACAGTCCTACAGTTACTGTAGAAAGACTGCAACTTACTACTATATAACTACTCACCGTTTTTTGGTACCTCCCCGCTGTCACTGTCTTCTGAAGACGAGGATGACGATGATGATGAAGACGAAGAGCCTGAAGAACAGGAGGAAGACGAAGAAGAGGAACTGGATCCAGACCGTGACGAAGACGAGGATGAGGAAGAAGATCTTGATGAAGGACTTGATGAAGAGCTGGATGAGGAGCCACCTGAGTCCGAGTCAGATCCCGACCTCCTCCTGGCCTCTCTGCGGCTCCGCTTACTCAGCTTCTTCTGTTTTCGAGTTACTGAGTTCGGCGTGAGCGGTTTTGTTCTGGCCGCCACCATCCGGCTCTCGTTCTCTCCCACTTTGTGGATGCCATCTTTCTCATCCACTCCTGAAGGTGTGGGTGGTCTGATAGAGGGTGTCTCCGTCTTGGGATTTTGCTCTCCACTCTCTTCCTCTCCCTCTGACAGTGGCTCTTTCTTCAGTTCAGTTTGGTTTGGGAGCGGTGAATCAGAAGCCTCTTTAGCCTGAATATGCTGGAGGGGGGTTGGGATGTGACACTGTCCCAGTGAAGGCACCTGATTCTGGGCTTGGACTTGTGCTGCAGTTCCCTTGTTCTGGCTGTAGTTTCTCTGTGCCGCCATAAAGCAGAGCTCCGGGTCACGGAGGATATGGTAGTCTGTTCGGCTGACTCCATGTTTGGCTGCCCCAAGCAGAAGATCCCGATCGTGGGATCCTGTTTCCCACCACACTGGAAGATCCGGTCCTAGCTGGCACAGTGCGAGATGCTCGTAAAGCTGCGGATGACGCAACACCTGTTCTCTTATCTTCCGCAGCAACTCCACTCTGTATAAGGTACGGGAGGCACGCTCCTCTGTGATTGGTTGTATAGCAAGAGAGGAGTCCATCATATCTGAGGGGAGAGCAGACAAAAACTGATGATGAATAAGTACAAGATAATGTATTGGCAGACAGGCGGAAAACCAAGTTGAGCACATGTTGTGCATCGATAGATGTTTGTGGCACTGACCTCCCTCTATAGCGGGCAGGCGGCAGACCCTCCTGCACATGGCAATAAAGGCACACAGGTACTTGTGTAGACTCTCATCAGTTTTCTTGTGCAGTCGAGCCATGGCTCTGAACTTGGTCCAGTCAAAGCGGCCCAAATCTGGATCAAACACTACCCCAAATGTTGAAACCACGCGATAGAAATCCGCCTCCTCTCTCCGCGTCCACCTATTGAGAAATGGAAAAATTTATTAATTCATAAACAAAGTTACTGGCCCACACAAAGAACTTCTGGACAAAAAAAGTGAACCGCAATCATACAAAGATTAATTTTATGAAGTTTCTTAAAGCTACACCTAGTAATTCCTCATCTTAAATCCAAGTAGTGGATTCAAGACGTTTCTGTTTATTAACTGATCGTGTGGGGAGCTGCCCATTTTATGTCAAATAAAACAAATAACATGTTTGTGTACATCATTTGTTTATCAATTCATAAACAAAGTTACTGGCCCACACAAAGAACTTCTGCACAAAAAAAGTGAACCGCAATCATACAAAGATTAATTTGATGAAGTTTCTTAAAGCTACACCTAGTAATTCCTCATCTTAAATCCAAGTAGTGGATTCAAGACGTTTCTGTTTATTAACTGATCGTGTGGGGAGCTGCCCATTTTATGTCAAATAAAACAAATAACATGTTTGTGTACATCATTTGTCAAGTGTTATTCATTTATTTTTTTAAAGTAGAAAAACATACTTGTGCATTCTTAGTTCGAATTTAAGCTGGAATACCCTACATTACTAAAACACTACAACACTAGGAAACCCACACTTGCAGACTTTTTAAATGGTTACAGAGAAAACTGGGCATCAAACACTAAACGACTGAGGATCACACACCACCAGACTTTAAAGCTTTTCTGAAAACAACAACAAACTCATTGCTAGGAGACACATGAAAATGAATAAATAAATAAATAAATAAATAAATAAAGTGTGTCAAAATCAGTTCAAAATATCAAACATGTCTGGATGGAATCATAGCCTAAAGCCTAAAAAAATGAGAGACTGTAACCAAGATTTTCTGTGAAATCTATCAACTACAACAGCCAAAAATCTACAGACTGGCTCTGATTTCATGTAACTAGCATTGACTCCTCCACACTTCAAATCGAAGGGCAAAAGTTAGCGTAGTGTATCACAGCCTTTACAGCTGACGTTAAGTCTCTCACCGTTGTTGTCTTTCAATCTTAGCAGCAATTTTGGGATTGAGTGTGTCGCTGATCGTGGGGGGCAGAGGGTAGAGGGCAGGGGTCATGGTCGGCTGTGTCTGGTGGATCTGAAGTATCTGTTTGCTCTTGGTGAAGCGCTGAGAAGCAGTGATCAGACGCCGCAGTCGGGCCGTCAGCGTGGAGGGTGAGGGCCAGTACATCCCTGATCCAGCACCCAAAGTCCCACCACCACCATCTAATACAGCCCCTGCTTCTGCACCAACACACAAACATACTGCTAAAGACTAACAACAACTTAATATCAACTCAAAAAGGGTTTATTTACAATGAGAAACACTATATAACACTATAGTTTGTCAATACCTCCGCCTGTATCAGTGATGACCAGGTCTCCTGGGGAAGAAGCATCGTCCTAGAGGTAAGAGCACATGTTAAGTCATAGTTCAGCATTACAACACAAACAATGCCCTTTAAAATTCTTGAATTTTAACTAAATTTGAATTGAGGTAGCACACAGGAAACTGTTGTAAATGTGAGCGTGTTGTGAGTGAAAAAAACGTTTGTAACTGTTAGTATGAGTTATTGTGTATGTTGCCATACACACACAGCATACGAGTTATTTCCAGGAACATTATATGTATTTTATATACATTTATATTGAAAATTAAATGCAAGTTCCTGTAGTTGATTTATAGATGATTATAACTACTCTAAATACACACACACACACACACACACACACCTAGTATTCTACAGTATTCCAAGTATTCTACATATCAGGGAAAAAATAGGCAGCTATTTAGTCACAAAACGTGTTGAACTAATAAACACCTCTGCTTTGTGACTGTGTTTATTGAAACTACATTCCTCTTTGTGTCATTCCAATTGAACATAGTATGGGCTGTGGCCTATTCAATTCAAATTCCAACTCATGAATTGAAAAGGCAACCAATTCTAAAATTTGCCCATCCCTGAAGTCACTCTAATTGATATTCTTTGAGCTTGTGTGTGTAACATTCTTATCAGGCCCAGTTCTCTCTTCTCCACTTGCATACCTCCATATCATCCTTCAGCAAAGCTGGAGCAGGCTTATACTCGGGGTCGTCCACATCTCTGCACACACAAACAATCACAGTTACAAACACCTCAGAGAGTTACTGCAGGCAGAAACTGATTAAAGACTTCCTCTATCTGTATGAATGGAGCACATGTTTGTGTCTCTTACCCATCCATAAAGTCATTTCCTCTCTGTTCAGCAGCGATGGCCTTCTCGTCTGGCCGCCCAACCCTTTCTAAGAAACACAGTGCTGGATCTGCACGAACAGTGTTGTACTTCTCATAACCTACAACACATACAAACAACCATTAGATAAAAGTGTGTACCCACACAGAAAGCCTTAAGCGCAACAGAGCTGATCGGACTCACCGTGCTTAAAGACTCCTAACAGCAGACATTTGTCTGAGAGCATGTCCCACCACAGTGCAGGCATCTCTGAATGATCCGGCTCAGGAACCCAGATCTCTATCTCACTGCGAGACAGCAAAACAAACATTTCAGCCATTGCTTGCAGAAACATGCTATACATCTTAGTCTAAGGTTATTTCAGGTTTAGATTTTTTTTTGGTGAACTATTCCTTTAAATACAGGTATTGAAATTATGTGTGTACGTTCTTGAAGTTTCCTCAGCAGGACAGCAGATGGCGCTTTAATGTTCCTCTTACTAAACAAACTGGCTTAAACTGACTAATACCAGAGGAGTTCAATGAGGACCTATTTATAATCCTAATATGCAAAGGGTTCTATAATACAGAAGTGAATGTCTTTATATTATTAGGTTTTGATCAGTTTTATATGGCTTAAAATTAAATACATATTACCAGCACGTAAAAAAAAATAATTTAAAATACTAAATTATTAGTATTTAAAAATACCGTTTTGTATTTGTTATTCTGAGGACGGGAAATAGATACAATGTAAATCTGAACGGCACAAACCAGCACAAATAGAGCACAAACGAATGGCACCGTTTTGGAACGATTTAGATTGCATGTACTAAATTATTAGTATTTAAAAATACCGTTTTGTATTTGTTATTCTGAGGATGGGAAATAGATACAATGTAAATCTGAACGGCACAAACCAGCACAAATAGAGCACAAACGAATGGCACCGTTTTGGAACGATTTAGATTGCATGGGGTGGAGAGTGACGTCACGGTTCGTAAAAAGTTTATTTTTGTTATATAAAAGAAGCGGTCATAGTTACAGGGTTTCTTTTAATGGCACAAACCAGCACAAATCGAGCACAAACGAATGGCAACATGGGGTGGAGAGTGACGTCACGCGGTCAAAAAAATTATGTTTAATATCTCAAACACCAAACCAGCACAAACATTCGTTTTTGCGGCACAAATCAGCACAAACTAATGGCATAGTTTTGGTGATTATTTCTTTTTATGGGGTGCCAACTTCACGGAGGTTCCTGCCACTATTAGTACAATACATGCAGAACACACTCCTCAGATGTGTTGGTTTCCCAGACTAGTGAAAGTAATAAGGTGAGAGGGTCCATGGGCAATGCTTACCTGGCATCTGCCCCATCCAGCACTTTTTGGCACTGCACTCCAATCACCTCTTGTTTCAAATAGTACAGCATTCTAACCCTCAGCAGCACCCTGCCAGACAGAGACAGAGAGATTGAGACCCAAGTGTACTATACATATATATATATATATATATATATACTTTCTATTGTAAAACTGTAATTGTTAATAACACTGATAATAATAAGAAATGTTTCTTGAGCACCAGATCAGCATATTAGAATGATTTCTGAACAATCATGAAGACTGAAGACTGCAGTAATACAGTGGCTGCTGAAAATACAGCTTTGTCATTACAGACGTAAATTACATTTTAAAATATTCTGAAATATAGCACATGTATTTAAAATTGTAATAATATTTCACAACATTACTTTTATGTAGTTTTGATCAAATAAATGTAGCCTTGGTTAGCAAGAGACCTCTTTCAAAAACAAAAAAAATCTTATCGTCCCCAAACTTTTGAACAGGACTGTAAATGAGCTTATGTGTATGACTTGATGTAAAATGCACTGCCATATGGCTGGTGTTAATGAGTGCTAACACGTACAGCCTTTTCATTTTTTTTATGAAAGCTGCTTCAGAGAGCATGCATGAAAGTAAATTTAGGCAATGTAACTGTTCAAAAACATAATTGTTCAAAAACAGTACAAAAAAATCCTATATCGGTAATTTTTTTTAAACATTTGTATATATAAATACACACGCTTATTTCAGGTAGACTGCAAAGCATGACTTTAAGAACTTTGCTTACAAGCTTATTCACATCTGTCCACGTTATGATCTTCATGTGAAATGACAGAGAATTTACAGTCTTAAACTTAAACTCACACTTTCACCCTAACATTAGTGGCATTTCAGCCCTGAGAAAAAATGCAGACGCATACAAAGCTGACAGCTGTGCCCCAGGTCATCGCTTATGTGTGTGTGTGTTAAACAGGACAGCTTTCTAAACAATAGGGAACTTTCTCCAATGGCAGAGAGCCCTGGATGCAGCCAGCCTTACAGTAATAAAACTCTCTCAACACACACGTCCTGGTCCAGAACAGTTCATTTATCAAAGCACAATCACACAGTCTGTTTATAGCATGACATGATGCTGCTTTCTGATGCAAGAACTGTTAAGCGTTTGTGACAAACAAACAGACAAAGAGTGGGAACAGCCAGCTAGATTTGATTGTGAGTTTGACAACATAAGTGTCAAGAACTGAAGAGTGTGACCTGAAAGCACCTCTCATCTTCCATTCCCTAAGAGAAAAACCCCTAAACAAGTGTGTGAGAGTGGGCCACACCACAAAAAAGATCACGGGGCTAAAATGGGAGATTCCCCCTTTATCATTGCATCACACACTTCCTCCAGAGTGCCAGATATCCATCTCATGGGGCATTCACATGTAGCCGAGTGGCTGTGTGGTTGAAAGTGGGTGGTACTGCTGCTTTATGGCTTAATGTTATTGGTGAGCTGCACAACAGGCTGCATTTTTCAAAAATCAAACGTACTGTGGCTTCTTTATTTCTTTATTCTTTATTTGCGACTACACAAATTTGCGATTTGCTTTGTATATTACGTTGGTCGATATGTAAATGAGATGTTGCGTCGGTGTTCTTTAATTTGCGCATTGTTAGTAAATCACCCGCAGAAATTTCCCCTCCCATGAACAGTTTAAAAAAAAAATATTTCCACAACTGTAAAATTATAATACTAATATTGCATGTTAATTCCATAATTTTCAAACATTATTCCAAAACTACAACTACAAACTACAGGGAGCCCTTAAAGCTTCTTTTTGTTATTCCATTTTATTTAGATATATTATTATTTTGTAATAAAAAAATTATATTTTTGCAGTATAACATATAAAATAGAGTATTTCATAATAATAATAATAATAATAATAATTTCATAGAATAACTGTAGAATTATAATGCTAATATTTATGTCTTAATTTCTTCATTTTCAAGTGGATATTTTGACAGAAACCACAGGGAGCACTTAAAGCTTCTCCTTCGTTGTTTGATTTTATTTCAATGTATTTGCAACCTTAACAAGAATGTTATCTGAAAATTGCTTTTATAAGAGAAACTGTAAGAAAACATTATGATTAATACTTTTAAACATATAACAAATAAAAGATGAAAGAGAGAAGCTGACCTTGGCAAAGGTGGAGCCCCGACCCTCAGATTCAATAGTGATGGTCTTGGTTCTGCGTTGCAGGATTTGGTCAATGTCCTCTTCACAAAATTTAGCCCCCTCATCTTCCTCGTCCATGATGGCACCATAAGCTCCACGCCGCAGAAGATCCTCAATCTCCTGTTTAATAGACGGTTCAAATAAACACATTTATTTGAAACAGAACTCTTTTGTAACATAACCATAAATATCTTTACTGCCACTTTGGATCAATTTAATGCATCCTTGCTCAAGTTTCGATTTCTTTCTTTCTTTCTTTCTTTAAAAAAAAAATAAAAAATCTTACTGACTTCTGAATGGTAGTACTGTATATGCATATATTCTACCATCAAAACAGTTTCATCTATGCAAATTGACATTACAATACATTGTTTTATTGTCATTACCTAATGAACTAAATGTGTTAAAAGAATATTCCGGGTTACATGTAAAGCAAGTAAAGCTGAATAATGTTGATTACCCAAGAGCAATGTTGCATTAGTACGTCCCTAGCTCACTCTTAAAACTCTTTCCATCACCTTTTCACTCACTTTTATTTTATTTTTTCCATTCATGTCCTTTATCTCTTCCTCTTTTTTAGTCCCATATTTTTCCATGTTACTTCCTGCTTTCTCTGACCCACTTAGGGCAGAGCTGTGCCTCTGGGACTGTGTGCCTGATGCGAGATCCCTGGAGTGTCTGTGTCCTGCAGCACCCTAACTACATCAGCCAACATACACAGCACTTACTTCACAAACAGTACGCTGTACACACTGCTAGACTGTCACAGACAAGCTGCAGCCCTGCAGCCCTATCACCCTGCAGCCCAAGACTGGTTGCCCACTGAAGCCAAGCAGGGTTGAGCCTGGTCAGTACCTGGATGGGAGACCTCCTGGGAAAACTAGGTTGCTGCTGGAAGAGGTGTTAGTGAGGCCAGCAGGGGGTGCTCACCCTGTGGTCTGTGTGGGTCCTAACGCCCCAGTATAGTGACGGGGACACTATACTGTCAAAAAGCACCGTCTTTCGGATGAGGCATTAAACTGAGGTCCTGACTCTTTGTAGTTATTAAAAATCCCAGGATGTTCTTCGAAAAAGAGTAGGGGTGTAACCCGGCATCCTGGCCAAATTTTTGCCCATTGGCCTCTGACCATCACGGCCTCCTAACCATCCTCATATCTGCTGATTGGCTTCATCACTCTGTCTCCTCTCCACCAATAAGCTGGTGTGTGGTGGGTGTTTTCTGGCGTAATATGGTTGCCGTCACATCATCCAGGTGGATGCTGCACACTGGTGGTGGTTGAGGAGATTCCCCCCTTCTGTGTAAAGCGCTTTGAGTGCCCAGAAAAGCGCTATATAAATATAAGGAATTATTATTATTATTATTATAAGCTGAGGCAAGAGAAAAATGAATGAGACTTCATTTTTTTCTTAGGAAAGAAACTAATCCTAGCCACTGCATAAAACGGTCATGTGATATCGGTGATGCAAAGGGGTTCAACAGCAGAGAGCTCTGTATAAAGGGAACACAAAATGTGGCATTGAACTTCTGCCAAAAAAGCAGATTAGATTGCTTGTTAAAACGGCATATATACACTGTAATGTATCTAAAACAAATATAGTAGAGCGGGACGTCACAGTTTGCAGTTAAACCCCATTAACTCGGCAGGAACACGGCGAGAGCCAATCACAGCAATGAAATACACATTTAGGATGTCGCTGTTTTCGATTCTAACCTTTTCTGGATGAGGTAGTCTTCCAGGATGTCCAGGCAGCGCACCATCTGAGAAAAGATGAGCACTTTGTGTCCACCGGCCTTCATCTTGGGGAGCAGCTTGTCAATGAGAACGAGTTTACCTGCTGACTGAATCATAGCCTGCAGGTGGAAATCTACTGCTGCGGGACTGTACACCTTGAAGTCCTCTAAGATCTTCTCCTCAGCCCCTAGAAGAGAAGAGAAAGCGCCAGACTTCTTAGGACCTTGCCTAATGTAGGCTTCTTGGTTTTGGCAGCAGCTGGGGTTTAAATGGTTGTACCTTTGATGAGGTAGGGATGGTTGCAGCATTTCCGCAGTTCCATCATGGTGTTGAGCAGGTTTGGGACGTTGGCTTGGCCAGCTCCCTTAGCCAGGAATGAGAAGTTCTTCTCCAGGATGGCGCGGTAGTATTTCTTCTGGATGTTGGTGAGCTCCACTTCAATGATGGTTTCCTCTTTAGGAGCCAACTTCTTCTCCACGTCTTCCTTAAGACGACGCAGCATCATCGGTTTCAAGATGGCCTGGAGTTTCTGGACCTACATGCACAAACATATACAAATGAAGAGTTAATATATACAGAACATATATGAATTTAAACAGTGATATATAACGTATATCCAAATACAGCACCTGCTCCTCAGTCTTGAGGTCTCCAAATTCCTGCATGAAGGTGCTTTCAGAAGGGAAGCGGTTCGGCTCCAGGAAGTGTAGCAGACTAAAGAGTTCCTCTACTGTGTTTTGTAGTGGAGTGCCCGTCAACAAAACCTTATGTTCCTAAGAGGTCAACAGATATCAAGTTAAAAACATAGGAAAAGAAAAGACAACTGTGATAAGTTTTAAATATAACTATAATAATGTCTTATTTATACCAGACTCATAAGTTTGAAGCCCTCCAGTAGCTTGCAGTTCTTATTTTTGAGCCGATGGGCTTCATCAATGATGACACAGCGCCAGTCTATTGCGTTAAGTTCTGGACAGCCTCCCAATATCATCTCAAATGTTGTAATGACTGCCTGAAACCGGTAAGCACCTCTTATCACACGACCCTGTAAGAGAGAAAGAGAGATAATAAGTGCCTGCAAACATTTTCCATTTTTTGTTGTTCCCTGAGGTTTTGCATGGTACACCATTATACAGTCATTAGGTTTAAGTGATATGACAAAAATCATATATAACAGTATGGGGATTTTTATTTAATCATAACAGTATATATAAATGATATGGGTATTTTTGCAGGAAATTCAACAAAAATGCATTTCACACACACACGCACACACTTTATAAATATATAAATCATAAATTATATGCATTATGCCTATTTTTTGGTAATACAGTGAATTAAAAAATATAAACTATAAACATTACTTTTCAATAAATGAAAGGTAATTTTTTGCTCCTCTTTTTTTCAGAACCTGTAGGATGCAAACCACTTGGTAAAACCGATTTTATAAAATGAAATTATGAAAACTAAAAAAATGATTATGCATTACAACTTAACTTAAAATTTATTTATAAAATTTATATTAAATGTTATTATTATTTTTTAAATATTCATTCTGACCAGATGAGCAGTACCAGTTATGAAAAAGCCAATATAAAGAAAGCTGACCCAACAATTGAATTCTGTATTAATGCAACAGGTTGCAATGCTTTTTTTCTCCAGCTATTATTTCTTAATCATATTACTCCATCTTCACTGGTAGTTATGCAAATATATCCACTGTGGCATTAGCGGTACAGGGTATATAAAATTTCATACCAGTTGACACATTTCTACCATTACGAGGTATTGTATATGCTGAAATACCACCCAGCCATAACAGTGATGTTTGATTTTTTGCATATCAAGCATCGCGTTATGGACTTTCTCTGAGATACACTCTGCCAACTTTGCAATTACATTTAGTTTGAAAAGGAATAAAATAACCATAATTGAGTTGTGGCTTGCTTTTTTCCCTCTATCTTTCTCCTTTACAAAACATGATACTAAAAGGTAACCAATTCAAAAGCCTTGAATTACAGTTAAGAGGTCTCACACTCGGCTGTGTGTGTGTGTGTGTGTGTGTGTGTGTGTGGGTGGGTGTGAAATCTCACCTGAGCATCTCTGAAGTACATCTCATACTGCTGGAGCATCTGTCTGCTGACCACACTGCCATGGTACACGATGACGTTAAGTTTCGTCCAGGTTCTGAACTCTCTCTCCCAGTTAGCGATGGTAGAGAGAGGGGCGATGATGAGGAAAGGCCCCTTGATCCCTGTGCGATAGATCTCATCCAGAAACGTGATGGACTGGATGGTCTTTCCCAGACCCATCTCATCCGCCAGAATACAGTTACGCCTGCAAATTGAGACAGAGTTTTTTTCCCCCTATAATCCCACACACAAGACACCAGGCTAAATGACAAGAGTAGGTGTAAAACCAATTCAAAAATGAAATAAAAAATGAAATTTAAATGCAAAAATCACAATGTTAGACGTTCTTGACACAATGCCTGTTGAAATGTAGTGCTACTGCACACACAGTCACACATAATACATACAACAGTGAGCGCCAGCATATCCAGAGCAAGGACAAAACACAGAAAAGCCTGGAAATTGAGCTAATATATTATAGTAACACTTAAATTACATTCAAATTGGGTTTGTAAGTTGCTTTTGTACAAAATCATCAGCCAGATGAGCCGCTGGAATTTAAAGTTATTTAATTCATTCATTATCTCATTGATGGTCTCAATGCTGTCTGAAGTCTGAATGGAAAATTAGATTCCCACAACACTCAACACACACAGCTCTCTCTCGCCTATCTGCCATTCAATTATCTATCTATACATAAAAAGCAAGCAAAAGAACAAGGGCGCAAAGTATATAAGAAAAGCCATGCATGCAGACATTAGCTCACAGATGAAATGTACACCATTTGATGACGTTCCACGTAGTTTTATTGACATATATGAGTAAGGTTAAAGAGGAAGGATCCCTGTGTCAGGGCTGAACGTTCACTTACCTGTTATACCAGTTGAAGAGAAGCCAGTTGACCCCCTCCAGCTGGTAATCCCTGAGACAGTTTCCATTACAATACTCTCGTGATTGCTCCCGCTTCTTCCAGTGACTCGCCGGTGGACGCTCCTGAGAGAGCACGCAAAATTCAGAAAATGGTATTCAAGCGGCAATACTTGCATTAAACACACTAACTAGCTGCAATACAGTTTAACCAGGCACTATTTGCTTTGTTACACCAATTTGGCATGCATATTTAAATACTTTGTAGCGCAAACGTCAACAGCTTATAGCATATACTGATTATAGCAACAGGAATTCATCAAATGATGGAGAAGTGAGTATTATATATCCAGTTATGCACAGTTTAGGCATGTTAAAGAGCTGTTTCAGGTCCCTAAAGCTCAGAGGCAATTATATTGAGAAAGAGGAATATAAGGTGAATACATAATTTAAATAATATTATCTTATGCTCACCAAGGCTACATTTATTTGATCAAAAGTACAGTAAAAACTGTAATATTGTGAAATATGATTAGAATTTGAAATATCTTTTCTATTTTAAGATATTTTCAAATGCAAACATTACTCCAGTCTTCAGTGTCACGTGATCCTTCATAACTCATTCTAATATGCTGATCTGCTGATTTTGCTGCTTCATTTTCTTGTTATTATCAATGTTGGAAACAACTATGTTGCTTAATATTTTTGTGGAAACCATAACGATTTTTTTTTAGGATGATTAATATATTTGATGAATAGAAAGTTCAAAAGAACAGCATTTATTTGGAATAGAAATGCTAATGGATACTTGTTAGATGAAATTATTCATTAAAAAGAACATTTTTGAATAGTAGTAAACTAAACTAAAATGGTATAAGAGGGAGCAAGAGGGAGATGGTCTCACCACTCTGTTGGTGTGTGGTTTTGCTGCCTGCAGCTTTTTGAACTCTTCAATCTTAGTCTGGTCTACATCTTCATTCAGCTCCCATGTGCTGTCCTCATACGGCGATGAGCACCATTTCACCAGGTAATACACCACCGGCTACACATGCACACAAAAAGAAGGTTTTGAGACTTACACAAAATAATAAACAAAGAGAGAGCATCCCTTCATGAACTACACAGAGTGCTAACCGCACACACAAACACACGATTCAGGGCAATGGCTACCTCTCCGGTGTCCTTGTCCTCACAGTATGAGACCTCAAGAACTCGGTCCACTTCTACATAGTCGGGATTGAATGGTTCCTCCTCCATCTTAAACACACATACGCATAATTAATAATTACAAATAAATCTCCCCAGTGATTATTATGACTAAATGAAATCACATTTAACCTGAAATGCATCATACTAAATAAATTTTTTGTGAGAAGACAGTGTTTGCTGAAGTTACAAACAAACATGGGCACTCTTACATCAGCAAAGAAGTGTGCTTTCTGCGCCTGTTTGATCTTGAAGCGCTTGATTTTCTGCTGGATCCTCTTGTCTTTCTCTAAATGCTGCTCCGTCGCCCACTCACAGTGAAGATACGAGCTACAACACACACACACGTTTACATAATTACTGAATGCTCCTTACACACGCTAAATTATGCGTGCTCATCAACACATCACTAAATTGCTCTCCGAGCTGCTCCTGGTTATTAGCAATATGAAAAACAGAATTTTGTACAGCTTGAAAGCTAACAGACTGCTTAAACTGTTAAAGCTGATAAAACCAGTGCCTAACTGACTTACTAGTTTTTGTACTTGACATAATACTCTTCGGTTTCTACCATCACCCCAGGAGAAACCTGTTGAATGAATGAAAAATACAAAATATATAATATTATACATATATTAAATATAATATACAATATTATTAAAATAAATAATCAATAATAGTTTTTCCCTCCATTTCTGAACAAAGAAAAATAATTTTATAAGTAATATAGTTACTACTACTTACTAGTAATATAGTTATATAAGTAAATAGTTCATTTTTCCCGATAAAAGCTAAATTAAGTCTCTTATTCACGGCTGATAAATCACATTTACACAAATAACTCGCTTGGGATAGAAGCATTTGCTAAATTAATAAACATATTAGCACACATATTAAAGTTTAATACAGATTAAATCTATGAGCATTCTGCTGGAAATGTCACATTTGTTACAAGATTAAAATTCCAGCATATTTCAGAACAAATATGCACTAAAATGTCTGTTGTTTTTCCCCTATTTCCCGTGCTTTATCTTTATCAGCATGCAGTGTGATGTACACAGTCATAAAATTTAGAGACCCTCCCCTGACAAAATCTGATCACAACTGGTCACAGGAAGTGTAAGTGTCATGTGTGATATACCATGTGCAAACAGGGCTATAATTTCCAGAATAAAACTGAATGGGATCTAAAGATGAATAAGAAAAACACACTTAATAAAACACAGAGATTGTGAAACTCTTACCTCTTTTTTCACCACACGAGATGCCATGATTTTATCAACCACAGCAGCATCTTCCTCAGTCGGGTTCTCCTATAAACCAACATAAACCAGATTCCAGAGACTCTTCATACCACAACATATACTTAAATACACACAACTTCCCTCTCTCTCTCTCTCGCTCACACACACACACACACACACACACACAAACACGCACACATAAAAGGATGCATTGGCTTTACTCATTCTAACCATAGCATATTATAATAAAGATCAGAGAACTGCTTGAGCATGCTGGGACACATCATAAGAAACAATTATGTGTGATGCTAACTGCAGTGAGATTTAATGTACGCACCACAAACAGTTGCACCGAAGGCTGTTTGTGAGCGTTGGAGTTGGTCTTCTTGGCTTTTACGATGACCTTCATTTCTTCATCGGACAATCGAGCCTCGCCATCATCCTCATACTTCTTCCTCTTGACCTTCCGGTTTGAACGTCGCTTCTGTAGACACAAATAAAAGTGAGTGTATGTTTGAATTTTTTTCACAGTTCTTTTTGAAAGAAGTCTCTTATGCTCATCAAGGCTGCATTTATTTGATAAAACAGATACAGGTTTATTGTAAATTATTATTATTATAATTTAAAATATCTGTTTTCTATTTTAAGTTTTTTTAATGTAATTTATTTCTGTGATGGCAAAGCTGACTTTTCAGCGGTCATTACTCCAGTTTTCAGTGTCTCATGATTCTCCAGAAATCATTCTAATGCTGATTAGGTGCTCAAGAAACATTTCCTATCATTATCAATGTTGAGAACAGTTGTGCCACTTAATATTTTTGTTAAAACCATTATAAATTCTTTCTTTGATGAATAGAAAGTTCAAAAGAACATCATTTATTTGTCTTTATGTCTGATTATTAATGCATTAATGCTGAATAAAAGTATTAATTTTTGAAGTTATTTTTTCAAGTCATTCACCTCTTTTGAATAGTGTGTATAATATATATATATATGCATTCAGAAATGTAAATATAAATGCATACATTTTACATTAATGACAGGATTTTCAAATAAATAAAGAAATGATCAATTAAATTTTTTATATTTTGCAAAAACCATATTACAGTTGGGATAAATTTACCCCAGGGGGCTTCTTGAGCCATGTAAATGTCACTTTAGATGACCAAGAGAGGAGGAGAACCCCTGCGCATGCACACTTTAATTTTTCACTCAGCAAATCAGAGATGCCCATCAGGGGGCCTTTAATAAATTAGTACAGCAGAGTGAAAGAGAGAGAGAGAGAGAAAGAGAGAGAGAGAGAGAGTCTGTCCTCCCAAATATAACATGACCTAAATGTGTATGAGTTAAAGTAAATGGAGAGGATGAGAATATCTCAGGATGACCAAATAAAGACCCACCCGTCCTGCCACAAGACCCCAGTGTTTCCCAAAATGCACATGGCTGTGGCTTTAACTCCGACAGCCTAACTGAGTCATCAAAAGAACACTGCTTTAATTAACACAGGGGTATTTAAAGAGGATAATTATATCTGGAAGGGTAGAGGGGGGTATATCATGGATGGGGGAATGAGAGGTTAGTCATTTCAGAAGAAAGAGATGGAATTCATTTGAGGGTACGGCAGTCATCTCAGTCTCTTTAGCTCTTGGACTGAACATACACATGCTGCAGGAAGCACCACTGCATTATGCAGTTTAAAGAATGACCAGCAACAAAGTGCATACAATTTGTGCCACCTGCTCCAGAAATGATTACTTGCAAATGCTTTTCTTGCTAGACGATTATATAAAACAGCATGAAAGTGTCATCCAGGCATATCAAGAATAGATAAAAAAACCCAAAGCTCACCGAATCATCATCTTTAGAGGATCGTCGAGTTGGTCTGTCATCATCAGACAGCTCTTCAGAGGAATCGGTCTTCTTTCGCTTCTTCTTTCCAAGCTTTATAACGATTTTCCTGTCAAAGAGAAGAACAAACAGAGAGACTTATTTTAACAACAATACCCACTGGAATTCAATCAGAAGAAACCAGTATTACTCAAAACATTTTATGGAAACACACCAAATGACCACTTTGTTGATTGCATCAATCCTGGCAAAAGAACCGATTTACTAGTGATTTACTAGCACTTAAAGGTCCCATATTGTACACCTTTCTGGAGTTTTATTTTAGGTTTTGATGTCCTTAAGAATATATATTTGCGGTATAAGTACCAAAAACCATCTCAATATATAATATATCATGTCCTCTCTCAGGAGCTCTGCTGAGAACAGGTCGATTTTGGTCTGACTAATTAATATTCATGAGCCTCTCTTCTGATTGGCCTGTTATTTTCTGAGTGACGCATGGCCAGGCCATCCACAGGTAACTAGGGTCAGCCAACGTCACAGCACTAGCTGGAGGCAGCAAAACAAAGGGGAAACTGGAGGCGGCCCATTCAAACCAGCGCACTGAGTGCAGATTCGGCTACATAAGGAGCTTAAAATATCATCTTGTTGTGATGTTGGGTGCCAGAATCGACGTAATACAGCCTCAAATTAGAAATTTGATCGCATATCTGCTGCCACTGCCAGACAAAAAACCGACGACAGCTGTGGTTAAACACC